TTACCCAGTCTGTTATTCTGTTTGGTGGCTTGTTCGAAGAACAAGTGCATGAAGTGGGAATATTTGGGATGATCAAGTTGCTAGCCCTCTGACTTAACTATCATTCGTTTAGTAACTGTTCAAAGTTAAATAAAATCACATTAAAAAAACATTTTTATCCAGCCTCCATCAAAATGCAATTTATGCGTTCGGCCATGAACCACTTTTTTTTTATTTTTTTGGGGGGGGGGTTGCATATATGAAGGGAGCTTTTTTTTTAAATAGCTGGAATCTGACTCTTCGGCATTCTATCTCTGAATTTTTGCAAGGCCTATGGGAAAAGTGCAACTTTACCTTCATGAGGACTAGCAACTTAAAGTTCCTTACGCGGAATGTAAACAATGCTGTGTTCCTACCTTTAGGGGCGTCAAACTATTTCCAGGACTCTTTTTTTTAAAAAAAGGAGAATATCAGCCAAAGTTTATGACCGCCCGGAACTGAGGAGCAAAGTTACAACTTTAGTGTCGCTAGAATTGTAGTGCATCACAACAGGCTACACACACTGTTCAAGTCAGCAAATCCAGACTTGGCAACGGTATTGCGTGGTGTAAACATACAGGTAGCCCTCAACTTGGCAACAATTCGTTTAGTGACTGTTCAAAGTTACACTGGCATGGAAAAAAAGGGACTTTTGACCATTTTTCACACTTAACGACCGTTGAAGCATCCCCATTGCCATGTGATCAATATTCGGATGCTTGGCAACAACTGATTCCTACTTATGACGGTTGCAGAGACCCCTTTTGTGACAAGCCAGGTCAACGGGGAAGCCAGATTCACTTAACAACTTAGTTGCTATCTTGATTCATTTAACAACTCTGGCAAGACAGGTGGCGAACTAGGGGGGGGAAAAATCACTTGACAAATGTCTCACTTAGCAACGGAAATGTTGGGCTCAATTGTGGTCATAAGATGAGGACTATCTGTAGGTACATTTGATAATGACACACAGGTGTTCTTTTGGCTCAGAGTTTTGCATGTCTTTAAACATGCTACTTCCACATATGATCTCATCCCTTTCACTTGGAATTCAGAATTTTTATACTGTATGACATATGTCCTACTTTATATTATTAGTATCTCAGATTTGCACACAAATAGGGTGTATGTATACATGTATATGTGTGTGTATATATGTATATATATGTTTATGTGTGTAATATGTGTGTGTGTGTGTGTGTGTGTGTGTGTGTATTTATATTTGTTTTCATAGATTTTCATGGGTACAGGTATGCTGGTCTTGGCATGTTTGGGTCTTTGCTGCATATATATACCTGCATATATATACACATATACATATACACACACACATATATATATATACATATATATGTGTGTGTGTGTGTGTGTGTGTTTGTGTGTGTGTGTATATTAAGAAAATATATGTTTTCTTAAGTTTCGCGAGTACTTACATGTATGGTATTCAGCTTTGTTCAGGTATTTTCCCACGTCATTATAGTTGTGTTTTTAAAGTTGTAGCAACGTTTCGGCAGAATCTGATCTGCCATCATCAGGCTTCTGTATTGTGTTCGTCTGTGAAAGTCTGACTCACAAACACAATACAAAAGATGAGATTCTGCCGAAACGTTGCTACAACTTTAAAAGCACAACTATAATGACGTGGGAAAATACCCGAACAAAGCTGAATACCATACATACATACATACATACATACATACATACATACATACATACATGCACACACACAGACACACACACATATACACATATATCTGTGTATGTGTATATATCTTATATATCTATATATATAAAAGCAAAATACCACTCATGCGTCATCACAAAATCTCCAGAACTGTAAAGCCTACAAACTTGAAATTTGGCATGTATATTTCTCGTCTTCTAGGGGCTCGCAAAGAAAGGTTTTTTCGAAATGTCCATCAGAGCATTTAGAGTATTTCCTATTATTATTATTATTATTATTATTATTATTATTATTATTGACACGCTCTGATGCGAAGGAGTTCTACTCCCCCTCCCCACCTGGAAAGAAATCTGTTCCAAAGGCAAAACACAAGCAGAGGAGTTTCAGTTTCAGAGCGCCACCAAGCAGCTTTAGTGCAGAACAGTTGAGCTAAGCCACGCCCAGGCTCCTTGCTGTCTCCTTCTTGCTCATACAGCAAATACTGTTTCACTTTCCAAACAGCCCTCAACTCTCTCGCACACTGACAGGACGCTAGCTAGATGAATACCGATGGATGCTGGTAGGCAGAGGCAGAATTTTTCCTCTTATTTTCTTCCCCCAAAACTAAGCCTGACCACATAGTTTTGTAGTGAAGCACGGGTATCGAGCTGATATATT